GGAAAAGGTGCGAGTCCAATTTGACCTTAAGATGGAGAGATGCGGTGTGGTGTTCTCCTGATGTCAAATGGAAGCAAAGAGCCTCTGGTCAGCTGTTCCCTGAGAGGCAATGGTCCTCGTGTCAGAGTGGGCGTGGTGCTATGTGGGGTAGAAGGAAGGGGTAGCTGGGGTGGAAGGGGTAGGTTTAAGTGCATTGGGTACTCTCTTGAATGACCATGTTTTCAGCTACTGGTGGCTTTTCAGGATGTAACTCTACTATGAGGTGAAGAACACCTATAGAAGGCGTCAGACAACGTAAGCAAAAGTTCTCAGGATTCTAAAAACAGAAATCATAGTACCAAGTGGGTCTTGCAGAGAGGCAAGGTGTAGCCCTGGCAGCTCTGGGGTTCAATATACTAAAGGTTTGAGTTGACTTGATTGGAAGCCATTGCATTGTGGGGTTTTTGTTGCTGTCACATTGTGTGTGTGTGTGTGTGTGTGTGCGCGCGCACACCACAGCACAGACGTAGAGGTCAGGGTAAACTTGCAGAAGTTGGTTCTCTCTTTCCATCGTGTGGCTCCTGGGGATCTGATTCAGGCAGTTAGGCTTGGTGACAAGTGCCTTTACTAGCTGAGCCATCTTCCTGGCCTTCCAATTGCAGCCTCACTGGATTCTTCCACTGGGTTTCTTCTCTCAACTGGGTTTCTTCTCTCTGCCTAGAGATTTCCCACTGTGATTGGCTTGTTCCCAGGCGCTAACTCACCTGTCTCAGAGTGTTTTCATCACCCTCTGATGATCCATCCTTCTCAAATCCAAACTTCAATCACAAGAACCAAACTGGATCCCTTGTTTTGCTTGTTATTGTTATGTTTAAAGAAAAATCTGATGGCCCCAGGCTAATGTGTAGCCACATTCCTAGCCTTTCTTGTTGGTCAGGAGCCTAGCCTTTAATAGCCCAGACATCTCTCCAGCCCACGTTCCTAGTCTAATCAAAACCCTTGGTAGATGCTGAAGATGCAGTGCATTTGGTAGAGAGCTTGCCTAGCATGTGTGAATCTCCCAGCATCGTATCAATGGGGCGTGGTGAAGTAGATTTGTAATCCCAGCATTTAGGAGAGAGGCAGGATGACCATGAGTTCGAGGTTATTCTCAACTACATCTTGAGTTTAAGGCTAACCTGGGCTACTTGAGACCCTATCTCACAAATCAAAACCACCACCATGGTGAGGCACTGGTGAGGGGTTGGCAGTTCTTGGGTTGTATGTGGACTGGTACTGAGTCTGCATTGCTGGAGGGATCTTCAGCAGACATAGTTGCCAATGTAGGGCCTGTGCAGGGGCTATGGACACAGAGACTCCACAACTGTGCACTACAGTGGCTCAAGTGCAGTTTTTCTGCTTCCAGGCACATTTTCTATGTATTATGCAATGAGGATAACCATGGCCTATCACTAACTAGTCCATGATAACATTAGTCACCAGGATGTATTTTGTCTGTCTGTGCTAAGTGTAAGGAACATTAAATCTGTGGTCATCAGTAGTTCTTGCTCATTTTCCCCCAACATGTATGGGATCATACTTCTTTCTCTAAGAGTCCACGTAACTCATCTCCAGTGGGGTCTGCACCCATCTCTACGTGGAGGCCCCAGACAGGTCTAAACAAGGACATTGGATAGTTTGAGCCCTAGGTGCCAAAGCTAGAGTTTCTGGAAGAGTTAAGAATATGAACCATGGGCTGGTGAGACAGCTCAGCAGTTAAGAGCACTGATTGTTCTTCCAGAGGTCCTGAGTTCAGTTCCCAGCAACCACATGGTGGCTCACAACCATCTGTAATGGGATCTGATGCCCTCTTCTGGTGTGTCTGAAGACAGTTACACTGTACTCGCATATATAATATAAATCTTAAAAAAAAAGAGAAAGTGACAAACGTCTTTTTCAAAAAATCTGAATCATCCTTAGAAAATGACAAAGGCAAAAGATGAGGAAAGCCAGATCTAGAGGCCAGAGTAAGGTCAAAATCAGCTCACAGTGCCAGAGAAGAGGTGGAGGGGGACAGGAAACTGTAGAGGGGGCACTGTCGTTCCTGTGGTCTCACTAGTTAGCGCATGGCTGGTGTCCTGGAAGAATTTCTTTTCCTTCATTCTTTTTAGGTCGTCTTCCCCTCTCATATCAGCTCTCCCCATCACGTTTGGCACCCCGAATGATCTGCTGAAACCATTTCTTTTTTTCTATTTGAGAATTCATTTTTAATCATCTCGAGTTCGGTTTGCTTTAAAGAACAGAGCACAGAAGACAGGATTTACATCTACATCACAGTTTGCTGGCCTGAGTCCCTTGGCCTGAGAATGCTCAGAATGAAGAACAGCCTAAGTGTTCTGTATAACCGGTTCACAGGAAGATCTGCCCTAGACATGTCCTGCTGTGTACCCTGACCCACCCTACTCCCAAGAAAGACATGCAGCCACAAAGTACCAGGTTACAGTCATTTCCTCTCCAGTGGAGTCTGGCACTACGCCACAAACCTACACCTGCCTCTCCACAGAAACAACTCATTGCAGACATCCAAATGCTGTATATGCTCCCTTACAAAATGAAACAAACAAACAAACACATAGAGTGTAGAGTAAGAGATGAAGTTAATGGACTGAAGAGATGGCTCAGTGGTTAAGAGCACTGACTGATCTTCTAGAGGACCTGGGTTCAATTCCCAGCACCCATATGACAGCTTATAACTGTCTGTAACTCCTGTCCCAGAGGACCTGACACCTGCCAGCAAAACACCATTGAATATGAAATTAAACTTTTTTTTTTAACTTAAAAAAAGTTTAAAATACATGATTGATTTAAAAAAATCTTTGAATTGGGTCAACAGAAATTAACATTATTCAAATGTCATGGTTCTGAAAGAAAACACTGTACGATCAATCCACATTTGTGTCTTGTGAATGAACTCATATCTCCCCGCAGAAGTTTTGCTGCTACGTATTTAAAATAGCTGTGAAGTCACTGGTCTACGGTGATACTTGATCTGAGCTTTTATTTTCTGAGGCAGGGTCTAACTATGTAGCCCAAGCTGGCCTCATAGTGCTAGGATTATAGGTGTATGCTACAGTGCCCAGCCGAGGGGATCGGGATGAGGGAGAAGAATTCAACCACTGGGCTTTCTGTTAGAGGACCAGTGGTGTTGAGGAGTGCCCAAAATGTTACTATGGATCTTATGGGATGGAATCAGTGGAGGCAACAATGTGGGCAGGGGTGGAAGATGAAGATGCTTGCCACCAAGCTTGATGATCTGAGTTCAACATCCCCGACCCAGATGGTGGCAGAAGAGAACAGGCTCACTCCAGTTGTCCTTTGACCTCCACACAGGATGGCATGTGCATGCACACATAGGCACATGTATGCACACGTACACAATAAATAAATAAGTAAATAAATAAATAAGAAACAAGAAACTTAAAAAGAAACAGCATGGACTTTTGTGGACTGGCATGGCAGCGTGGCCTTCCCCTTGGGCTCCTGATGTCAGCTTTCGTACCTTTTGGAAGACACCTCACTCATACTTCAGTGAGTGTCTCTATTAAAACTGTAGGGGCTGAGTATGGTGGTGCATGCCTTCAATCTCCGCACTCCTGAAGCAGAGGCAGGTGGATCTCTGAGTTCAAGGATAGGCTGCACTACAAGTAAGTCCAAGACAGCCAGGGCTACCCAGAAAAACCCTGTCTCAAAATGAGTAAGTGAATAAATGAATAAGTAAATAAATAAATAAAATCTTTGTAAAGCTAGCTGTAACTCAGTTGGTAGAACAGCTAAATGCATGTATGACGCCCTGGGTTCCACCTACCTCCAGCACCACAGAAGCCTGGGCACTGTGGTACTAGCCTTTAATTTAGCACTTGGGAGGTGGACACAGAGGGACCAGAAGTTGAAGGTCATGCTTGACTTCAGAGTATGTCCAAGGCTAGCCCAAGATGTACAAGACCTTGTCTCAAAAACAAACAGCCTCTTTGTATAAAAGAATATAATTTTGCTGACATAGTATCAGTTTTTATCTAAGGCAAACTCTCACCTTTCAAAAGCATCCCCCATTTTCATGCTGCTTCAGAGGTGGAAGTTATTTAGTATAACTCCAACAGCCCTGAACTCAAAGGCTTTTGAACTTGCTTAAAAAAAACAAAAAAACAAAAACAAAAACAAAACAAAAAAAAAACAGAGAGAAGATCAGCACTTTATCCCAAATATCCTCCTAGTCCTCCCTCAATTACAGCTCTGAGGAGCCCTTATGTTGATCAAGGCTGTGCTTCAGTTCAAGATACGTTTCTGGCACTCTAAAAGGACGAGGGCTGTTTATTGAGTATGCAGTGTTTGAATCACATTTCAAATTACACAGCGAAAATCCCCATCACGAGGCACTTCAGGCAGCAGTGATTTACCACACAGCAAACAAAATCACCTCTGCCATCAATGTGCTGGGGTGACAGCTAATTAACACCGGTCTCATCTGCCCGTGATGCTTCCAGGCAGCGGCTCTGATTTTTCTCAAACTATCACTGATAGTCTCCAGTGCCCATGGAGGAAGCAGAGAGAGGTGGGGGAAGGAGAGAGAGGGAGAGGCCAAAGGAGAGAAGAGAGAGAGAGAAGGAAGGAGGGAAGAGAAGGGGAGAGGGAGAAGGAGATAACACTTCATGTAGCCCAGCCTAGGCTCAAACTTACTAGCTGTAGATGCATTGGACTTCCTGCCTCCACTGCCCAAGTGTTGGAATTCTGACACACACTATCATTCTGGCAGCCTTTGCCTTATAAGGATAGAGCTCAACTTTGTTTCTTGTTCAAATCTTGGAATGGTAATAAACCATCTACTCTGCCTTTGCGGGAGCTCCTGGCTGAAGGTGACAGACACCTTCCCATCTCTCCTAAAAAGCTCCATGGAGACCCCTTTCTTTCATCTCTTTGCCCACTTAACCAGTTATCGACTTGTAGGGAGAACATACATAAGACACAGCACACTTTTTTTTTTTTTGTGACATCTGGCATCTTATTTAAAAGCAAGTGGTTTAGAGCCAGAATTGAATTCAACTGTCCCAGTTAATACAACTCTAAAGAGACCATGGTGAATACTCTGGGTCTGTTTTCTCATCTCCGAGACAGACTGATAACAGGAATTAACATCACTGTGTGTTAAGGAACAAACGGGCTAAGATCTGCAAATTTCCTAACGCGGGAATAGGCGTTCACCGAATGACAAATGTAACTAGAAGTCTTTAATAACTGCTTTTGCCAGGCAGTTACCATTCCCCCTGCCTGCATGGGTAAGTGATACTGACTCACTCCTAAGACACCAGGATTTCTGACTCCAGGCGTCAGGATCCCCGTCACCCTCCATTACCCTCCATCACTTTATAGACTTTTATAGAATGAGATGCAGTATCCAGCACAAGAAGAGAATTCTCCTTGTTGAAGACCAGTGCCACAGGACGGGAAAGGCCATGAGTAACCATAGGCTTCAGGGCTGGAAACTCCTCAGGTTTCCCCAAGCACACGATGGCTGGACCAGAGGTATCAGCAACAATCACGTTTCCTTGGTGATCAAAGGTGACAGCTGAGGCGGTTATTTTGGAGGGGAAGAGGAGGTTCAGCCCGAAGCTATCCACCTGGCCAATCAGCTGCATGGTGGAGCTGAACACCTTCACCCTTGTGTTGCTACAGCTTGCCGTCCCAAAGGCACAAGGATGCTCTAGGACCGCGATGGCCCCGGTGAGCCACGACACAGCCACCCCACGGGGGTTGCACAGGTGAGCTTGCAACCTCTCAATTCTCCGAAGGACTCCTTCAGGGAAATCCACTTCCAGCAGGTGCAAAGTCCCTGCCTCTGCGTCAGTCACCAGGACCCCATTGTGAGGGGTGATCTCCACACCCCAAGGCAGAGCAAATTGCTTTCCCACAACCAGTTTGATCTGGCCAAAGAAATCAAACACTTTAAGGGAGCAGTCGCCAGCGTCGGTGACAACCACATGGCAGTCGTTGGTGACGGCGACATCCAGTGGGTACTTGACGTCGTGCGCTGCGTCCCCCTTCTCTCCAAACTGGTGTGCGCCCCCTCCTCCGGAGTCAAAGATCTTGACTCGTCTCTTACCGTCGTGCACGACCACTACCCGTCCGGTCTTGGGGCACAGTGCAAGCCCTGTGGGGTTCACTAGGGTCCCCCACCCGCCAAAGGCGTGGTAGCAGGTGAGAGCCCCAGGCGCACAGGGTGCGGCAGCACTGAGGGCAGCGGGGTTCGCGTGGAGGGTAGAGCCCAGGAGCTCCAGAAGGTGCAGCACCGGCAGGCAATCGCTGGTGTCACAGGCCCGGCAGGCCCGCCGGCAGAAGGGACACTCGAGGGCCAGCGTCCGCGGGTGCGCGAGGGCGGCGACGCAGGCCAAGCAGACCACGTGGCCGCAGGGCAGGTTGCGCGGGCGCCGCTGCTGCCGGTGGCCGAACCTCTCGAAGCACACCTTGCACTCCAGCAGGCTGACCTCCGCCTCCCGCACCAGCTCGGGCCGCACCCCCGCCGCCTCCTCCCCCATGGCTCCCGCCGCGCCGCGGCCTCCGCGCAGCCCTCGGTCACCGCCACGGTCACGGGGCGGGGCATGCGCACTGACGCGGAACGCGCGCGCTGCCGCCCCCTGGCGGACGCACGACGCAATCGTCCGCATGCGCCGTGCGCAGACCTGGAGTGATCACGTCGCGGGTGGGAGATCCTAGTATTAGAGATCGAGACGCGTCTCGGGGGAGCGAGTGGGTGTCTCCGTGTCCGCCTGTAAGTGGCAGCTAGTCTCCCAGGGCTGGTGCCCAGCAGGGCTGCCAGTCATCTTTGCTAGGAGCTGGGTACCAGGGCTGGGCCCGGGAACAAGACGTGGCTCGTAGTCTCTGTATAGTATGACTCTGAAGACAGAGATAGAAGAAAGAAGGTAACTTCAAGAGGGTGAGGCAGATGTGCATACCTCTCTGGTGTGTTTTATCACTCTTGTGAGAAGGTAGATACGTAACCCTCAAAGAACTGGATGTGGGAGTTGTGATGGCAGAACTCAGGAGGCAGAAACAGGAGAATAGCGGTTGGTGGTTACTTGGAGGCCAACCTAGGCTACTGTGCCTAAAAAAACAAACTCCCAAACCAAAACAGACAAAAGAATACTTGTGAAGTGGGTTTGTGTGGAAGGGATATTTTTAAAGCTGTTAGTTCCCTTCCATGATGGTCTACGTAGTGAGTTCCTGGCCAGGTAGAGGTACAAAGAGAGACCCTGTCTCAAAAACAAAACAAAACAACAACAACAACAACAACAAAACTTGTTAATAGCACTTACTATAGAATCCACTCCGTGACTGCCTTTTAAGTGGTTCTCATTCATTGTTTTATTAGTAATTTTAAAAACTTTTTTAAATTAATGTGTGTGCATGTGGGTATAGATGTCTGCGTGTGACTCTTGGAAGCCAGAAAGAAGATGTTAGATATCTGAGAGCCAGAATGACGGGCACTGAATGTGGGTGGGGTCCTACTGTGGATTCTCAAGATTGAGCAGCAAGTGTATATAACTACTGAGCCATCTCTCCAGCCCCTCAGAAATAATAAGACAATAGATTTGTTTTACTTTGTGTGTATAAGTGTTTTCTCTACATTATGCCTGGTGCCATAGGGAGCCGGAGGGGGTTATCAGTTCCAGGAAACTGGACTTGTGGATGGCTGTGAGCCACTATGTGGGTACTGGGAATCCAACCCAGGTCTTCTGTAGGAGCAGAAGTGTTCCTCACCGTTGTCTCTCCAGCTCCTCAGAAACAATTTTTAACTCAGGAAATACAGTCAGGATACAAAAGCTGGACTATTTTTAGAACCAGTCTTGTGCAACAGAAATGTAATGGAACCCACATTTTAAAATAATTTCCTGGTAGCCCTGTTTTTAAAAGTTAAAAAGAAAAATGAAATGAACTTAGTTGTATCCTTCATGCAATCCATCATTTGGACATCATAATCACCTGAAAACATGAACGGGACATTTTAACACTCATTTTGTGTACTAAGTAAAGTCTGGCGTGTTTTGTGTTCAGCGAGTATCTAATTCAGACAAGCTAGCTTCCACACGGAGCTGGCGGCTCCCACACATAACAAATGCAGAGCCGGGCTACGAGATATCATCTTTAGAAGGTATTTCCCAGACTGAGCTCGATGAATCCCTTACTTGTATGTAACTTGTCTCTGCCCCATGTTACATCAAAACTGTTCAAATACCTCAATTCATTGCTGACGGCAGCTGAGCTGTGTCCTCTAGAGATGTCCAACAGCTTGCTGCCTGCTAAACCTCCTTCTCTGCCTTGTCGGACCTTTGCTGCCTCTGAGAGGCTACAGGTGGCACTACACCATTAGCATTGCTGGCTAGGTTGGACAACTTTGCAGCACAAGGCACAGTCTCCTCCGGGAGTTTACAATGAAGCACCTAACCAGGAGTTAGATTTTTTTTTTTTTGAGGCAGGGTCTCATGTAGCTCATGTCAGCTTCACACTGGTTATGAAGCTGGGGCGCATGATCCTCCTGCCTCTACCATCCTAGTCTTTGGACTACAGGTGCTTGCTACTATGACAGGCCCAGATAGTAAAAGGATGGTGTTTGATTGGCAGTTAAGATTTTCTCAATTATGCAAGGCTTCCAGCTTCAGAAGTGGAAGTCAAAACCAAGGTTTGAGTCTCGAAGTTTACGGTTCCTGGCAATCACGATCTACAGACTTTGCTGCCATCCCGTGGAATCCACCAGTTTCCACTCTGGAATTTCTACCAGCCTAAACTGACAGCCCGGTCCTTCTTCTATATGATCAAAAATACAGAGTCTAATTGACGGCCTGGTCCATTTTAAAGCTTGCAATCCATCTTCATCTCTTCTTATTGCTTTTGTCTCTGAGGAGACACGCTAAGTCCCACCTCTGGTATTGCTCAACTCTGTACCATGCCGAGCACAGGCCCAACAGGCTCACACTTCATCTGCTGGGTGAACGACATCATCAGGACAGGAGGAAATGTACAAGGACTTAACCTTGGATGTGGTGGGGGTGTACCTTTAATCCCAGAGCTTGGGAAGTAAAGGCAGGTGTACCTCCCTAAGTTCCAGGCCAGCCAAGGCTACATAGGGAGACCTAGTCTCAAATAAGGAAATATAAAGACCTCGGATTAGGCAGGTAACTCAATGGAAGAACATGACACTTACAATCAACACCAGCACTGATGAATCAAAACAAACAAACAAACAAACAAAAAAACCCTTTGCTTTGCTTTTGAGAGATATTTAGTCACTCAGGAAAAGTTAGAAGAACTTGAGAGGGAGGTGTTGTGAGAGCTGTGCTATGAGATCTGTCATGAGAGCACACGTTTGTAAAATCACAAGAATGTAAAGGCAGACCAGAAAAGATGAAAAGAAAACATTCCCCTCTTAGCAGCGATGTCTCTAGTACAAGGGCGTTTGGTTGCTCTTGTGTGTCCTTGGTAGTCTCCCCTAGACTTCCCAGGTTTTCAGATATTAAGATTATTCTGTAGTACTAGGGATTGAACCTGGGGCCTCACATATACTAAACACTCTACCATTGAGCTGTATCCCAAACCTAGAACAGTATTGTTTAACATTTATTTGTACATTTTTATTTATGTGATATGTGTTATCTGCATGTATGTGTGGACCACTGTGAGGGTATTCACGGCAGAACAGAGAGAATATCAGAGCCTCTGGACCTGGGGTTACAGGCAGTTGTGAGCTGCCTCACACGGGTGCTAAAAACTGAACTCAGGTCCTGTGCATGCTCTTAACCACTAAGACAGTGCACCAGCTCCCAGCATGTTATTTTTATCATTTAAATATAAATAAATGCTCATCTCTTACTTAAAAATACTGCAATGGGCAGTGGTAGCAAATGCCTTTAATCCCAGATTTGTGAGGGAGGGGCAGGCAGATCTCTGTGAGTTTGAGGACAGCCTGGGCTACACAGCAAGTGGCAGAACAGCCAGGACTAAACAGAGAAACCCTGGCTTGAAAAAACCAAACCAAAAAACCAAAACCAAAAAACTGCCTCTGATGGCTACCCTCCCCACCTGTTCTTCAGCCCTCAGCAGATTTCCAGGCAGATTTTTAAAAATTTTATATATCAAAGTTATGCAAAGTCAGAAATGAGGACTGTATACTGAAAACAGAGTGGTCATGCTTAAGGTTCACATATATGAATCTTCTCCCAGCCAGTAATTAACTCAACCACTCGAGTGGATTTGTAGTCTGTTTGCAAGGAACAAAACATTAGATGACACACGGGAGGAAGCAGGAGCCATATGAGTTAAAGATAGTTTTAATAAGAGCATACAGAGCTGGGCGGTGATGGCAAACACCTTGAATCCCAGCACTTGGAATTAAAGAGGCTGGCAGACCTCTGTGAGTTTGAGGATAGCCTGGTCTACACAGTGAGTTCCAGGGCTACTAGGAGGAACCCTGTCTTGAGAAACAAAGCATCCAGAGATCTTTCTTTAAAAAAATCTCTGTCTCTCTGTCTCTGTGGGTCTCTCTTTGTCTCTGTCTCTCTCTGTGTCTCTATGTCTCTGTCTCTCTGTCTCTCTCTGTCTCTCCATTTTGCACTCTTATGCATGCCTGCATGCATGTATACACACACGCACAGGCACGTACACACGCACTCCTCACTCCCCACCCCCATAATCACACTAGTTACTTTTCTTACTGATGTGACCAAATACCAGACACAAACTAAAGGAAGAAGGGGGTCTGTTTTGGGTCATGGTTTGAGGGAGGACATGGTGGAAGGCTAGGACTGAAGTAGCTGGCATGTCCTGCAGCTGATTGTTCACTGCCACTGAAAAGGAAGCAGAGAGAGCATGCACTAAACCAGGCCTGGCTACAAAACATTAAAACCTGCCCCCAATGGCCTACTTTTTTCAGCTAGCCCCATCTCTTAAAGGTTCCAGAAACTTCCAAAACTGTGCCACCATCCAAAGACCAAGTGTTCAGATTGGTCCAAATCAAAACATGCATGATAAACACACATTGAAAAAAAATGCTTCCTTTATGAAAGAAAATGACAACTAAGAACGTACTAACTACGGTGTGAGCAGCAAGCTAATGTCTCTGTGGGCTACGTTTCTGTTCATCCATGAGTCCCCTAGCATCTGAGAGCTCTCTTGAGCAAACATTGTTCAGGCCACCTTCTGTGGTCCTGACCATAAATCCTTTCCAGAGCCAGTCTCCTACAGACAGTGGAGCTTTGGTCACTTTCCCCGTGTGTTCTTTCCTCACTCGAGTACACAGACGAACTAGGACATTCTCCTTGTTTCCACCCATCTGCAGCTGTTCAGCCCAAGTTTGTGCGTTCAAGCATGCAGGGCGGGTAAGTTAATAAATCACCATGTAGGGCACAGAGGCTCGGCCAGTCTAGTATTTAAGCTATGAAATTATATAAAAGGCACTTTTGGGAAAAGCTCAAGAATAATTCAATCCCTGTAACTTGATGTATACGTTAGTGTGTTTTCAACTCAAGGCTTTTAAAGTCAGAAC